GAGAACGCCGGATGTCCGCCGTAATCCACCTAGAGAAAGGAGGCCTCCTCAACGGCTGGACCTTTAGTTGAGATTAACTCACAGATGGGGCAAAATAATCCCCAGGGTTAGCTGGGAACTTGAGGCGTTCTACCCTCATTTCATAGTTAGTTTTTGTTTTCTTAAAGGGACGTTTTTATTAAGGGGGGAGGAATATGTTGTATATTGGGTTGTAGATATAGATCTTGTTGTTATGGTAACTGAGTAGGTCACTGGGGTCAGCCCTGCTAGTCTGGGCTTGTTCTAGTGAGTTCTGTGCTATGCAATAAAATGGACACTTGTACCTACTCCAGCTCTCTGCCTTTCCACTGATTTCTTCCTATGCTGTGAAACTCCCCACGACATAACATAGGAGGTATGCAGTGTCTTAATGAAGCTGATGTTAACTTGAACTATATCACCATCCAACCCAGACCACTCCCTAACATGTAAAGCCTTCACCTTACGGACAGCTAACAGGATGATTAGGGTTACTGGATGATAGGGAGCTATGTGTTGAGGACTCCCCCACCTTTCACATCTCCCAGGTATATCCCATTGGCTGCAGAAGCAAAGCAATAGCTCACCAAGGCTACAGCTACAGTACGAGTTTTCTCAGCAAAAAGTATGCTAATGAGGGATTATTTGCATGAGTCGCAATCTCATTTACATATTTTCTGCCAATCTGTTTTTGGGCTAGGGTTTTTGCACAAAAACAAGCAGCGTGGACATTTTCTTTTTGCCCCAACCCCCCTTTTCCCACAAGATCCTTATCCCCCCAAAAAGGAGGTATACCAATCTTGCAGAAAAAGGGTTTTTTGCGCAAAAAGAAAACATTCATATTGATTGTTTTTACGCAAAAACCCTAGTGCAAAACCTGATTGGCAGAAAATATGCAAATGAGATCACAACTCATGCAAATGAGTCCCTTATTAGCATATTTTTGCCAAGAAAACCCATAGTGTAGACATAGTCCAATTGTCCAGTTTATTTGCCTTTATTCCTATGCCATTTTATCAGAAATCACACTATAGGGTTAGCCATATGACTCATCACCCCAGTGCCTCCTGCTGGTCATTCTAAGAATTAGCTCTGCTAAGAGCTGGAGCACCCTTTTCCAGCTGGTGTCTCACCTGTTGTTACCTGTTTTGTGTTAATGGCTCCGCTGCCTTATGTTAGGACCCACATCCCTCCCACACTATGGCATCCTTCCCTCCGAGTACTGCCCCATGACAGTACCCCCACACTCTATGTACTCCCCTTAAGAGAACCCTGCCAACCACCTATACCCACCTTTGCCTCAGTGACAATACTACCAGTCATCATCTAGCCCCTTACCTCTGCAGTCTAACATGGCCACTCATCATAGGCAAGGGAGTGGGGGACCTGTGAGTTTTGCCTGCCCTAGTTGCCTTCCTGTACCCCTAGTATTCCTCAGGCTCCATCATGGTCCTCAGCCTAAGACCTCAGCCTTAGGCTGGAGCTCCCTTGGCCCACCCTGCCTTTCTGCAGCATTCCTCTGTCCATGGTGCCCTGCCTAGCAGGCAGTTAGGTCCTTCTCCCTCCAGGACTGGAGTGAGAGTGTCTCCAGCCTGACCAGACATCTTTTTTATACTGACCTCTTGGGCTCTGATTGGCTGCCGCAAAGCTTCTCATGATTGTCCCCTAGCTACAGATGTCTCAAAGGCTGCTTTAACCCTTTTTATGCCTGGAGTGGAGTGATCATCCTGGTACAGAGTGTGAGAAAGGTCAATCACAAGTATTTGCTAGTTGAATACACTTTCAGTGCTGCTGAACTATATTTGGAGAAAGCCTGTGAAATTCTTCAAGATGCACTGCAGGAGTCGTTTCTAGCTCATGGCAATATAGTACAAACAATACTTTAAATCTTAGGAATAAGTGGAGAAGCAGCTATTTCAATTAATAGTAATTAATAATTGAAAGCCTAATCAGATAATTGCATAATTGGAATTTGTTCCCTAGTCTTAAACTTAGTGATGTTTGGTGCAAATAAAAATCAGGATGCAAAATACATAATAAAGAACATACAATTAACTATACCAAAGGATGAATGATAGAGACATAACTTTTATAATGTGGGTCTACTCTTTACAAATGCCCTCATTAGGGTTCCATTTCATACAAATACCATTGAGTCTTGGTGAAATGTGCTCAGTTTATAAGTAACTTTTTTTCTTCTTAGCTTATGCTCCAACACTTCAGTTAGTCTATAAGGTGCCATAGGACTCCTCACTGCTTTTTTTTCTTCCTCCCTCCCAGCTATGCCACTTTAGCCTAAAGATGAGAGTGAAACTGGTTTCTTAACATCTTAAATTATAGTGCATCCTATAATTGGCTTCTACAAGCAAAATCTGACCCTCAGTGATGTATGTGCAGCTTAATTTCCCATCCCATTTGTACGGGAGCCATGAGATAAAATTTCCAGAGGATTCCTGTTGAAGAAGTAGAACTAGCGTACTCATTCTTAGTTGCATGGGCTTTCCAGTGCTGACAACAAAAAGAGCAACAAGAGATTTATTTTGTCACTGGCCTAAGCAGTTATTGTATTTTGTGTTGGCATTGCCAGCACGATGATAAACAACAAGGAATTAACCCCATATTGTGGGCAGAGGAAACCATATCCCCTTGCCAGCTCTGGGCATGCTCCAAATGGGGCCTCAGTATAAAACATCTTCATCACTGGAGATTTTTAAGAACAGATTAGACAAACATCTATCAGGGACAGGAACGGATTTAGGTCTTCATAGTTCCTATGAACTCTCTAAAACATAGGCTTGTAAATAAGATTATATATAAATATATAAGGGAGAAATGCTCTATCACCTATATGCCTAACATTATCCACTTTAATTTTCAATTTTGAAAGTGGTGCACTGGGTAAGCAATTCATGGTACTTCATTCTAAAATAAGAAGACGTGACCAAATTCCATGAGGTTTAACTGTTAATTTGAATTAAGGAGTTTATCTCAGAATCGCGCTTCTTTGCTGCATGTAGACGCGGGCAGTTATTCCGGGCTAGTCAATTTTCAAAATGGTGACTGGCCAGGAACATGCTAATGAAGCATGGCATACTGAAATCCCGCGCTTCATTTGCAATTTCAGTCGCCCTCATTAGCCTTCCTAGTTTGAATTAGGGGACTAGTGTAGACATACTCTGAGGGTCTTTAGACTCATTAGGCATAACATTGTACTTGTATGTTGTTTGTTTACTATAGAAAATTATTACATTTGATTTAGCAATTTTCTTTTCTTATTTTTAAGTCTATTGTGAATTTATTTTTAGGCTCTAAATCTTTTGTAGGCCTTAAATTTTTTCATAGGCCCTAGGCACAGTGCCTGTGGGATAATCTGGCCCTGGTCAGGAATGATCTAAATGGTGCTTGATGCTGTCATGAGTGCAGGGACTAGACTTTGGCTGTGTCCAGACTCAGGGGCTTTTTCGAAAAAAGTAGCCTTTTTTCGAAAAAACTTCACCTGCGTCTAGACTGCAGCTGCGTTCTTTCGAAATTAAATCGAAAGAGTGCGGCTTTTCTTTCTACGGTGGTAAACCTAATTCCACGAGGAAGAACGCCTTCTTTCAAAAGTGCTCTTTCGAAAGAAGGCGTTCTTGAAAGCAAACAGGCTTTTTAGAAAGAGAGCATCCAGACTCACTGGGTGCTTTCTTTTGAAAAAGCGGCTTGCTTTTTCGAAATTCCGTGTGCAGTCTAGACGCTCTCTTTCGAAAGAGGCTCTTTCGAAAGTATCTTTCGAAAGAGCCTCTTTCGAAAGAGGCTTGCAGTCTAAACATAGCCTTCATGACCATTCGAGGTCTCTTCCAGTTCTAGTATTCTAGGCGTCTATGAAAGGGAGCAGTCCATCTCATAGGGATACCTAGCTGCCTGAGGAAGTGCAAGAAGGGATGCAATCATTGTGAGCTTCACAAGCTAATGACCCCAGAGGCCCAGGAGACAGAATTGCTGGGAAACAGGATAGGAAGTAACCCTGGGGAACTAAACATTGAATCAGTTGTGGAATCAGGATGAAAGTATCATGTTTTGGATGGATCCCTGCTCACCTGATGAGTAATCCATTTATCACTGTCAGGGTCTTGGTTTGGATCTCAGGGGG